TATATGTATATATATATATATATTTATTTATTTATTTATTTATTTATTTTATTGATTTAGATAAGAATAAAGAAAAAACTGTGAATATAAATAAGTAAGTAAAGTGATATTTTGTATTATTTAATTGTCAATAAAAAAATAATTTTTTCAGTAGACTTATAGTTACGTAAACACTTCATAGAAAAATTATTTTGAAGAATAATTTTTTATGTATCATGATGTAGGGTCAACGTAATGCTAAAAATGCTTTAAGCATTCTTTGATCGATCAATTAATCATAAAATTCTTTCTTTTAATTGGTCAATCAAATGCTTCAAAACATTTGTAGTGAGACTTTGACCGCACCCATAAAATTGAAAAAAATTATCACATATGACAATTGTCTAATCCTACATCCTTAATAATATTCATTCGTAAGATCAGTTCTCATTAACTTCTTTTATAGTTGTAGTTACGTACGTTTTGCAAAAGACGGATGATATTACAAGAAAGCTCTAAACTGAGGCTGTTTTAGCTGAAAATAAAAGCATAAAACAATAATTGAAAAGAACAATAATTGAAAGAGAATAAAATTAATACATTAATAAATAAAATATAGTTCTTGTAATCATCTCCCCACTGAATAAAGTAATTTCTAAATACTACAACTTTTAATTAGCAGCACCACCTAATGTATTTAATTACGTTATTTTATATGAATAGAGTCACATGTTTGAAGAGAATACATATATATGCAATTAATGTATATTGCAATAACGCATATGTATGCGTTAATTATCAATTATAAACTAGTTATAAATGCATCAGTGGTACAGGAATATTATTTGAGTACATGCAATGTATTGCATAGTACAAAAATCGTATAGATGCTGAAATAATTTTTCGAATAATCATAAATTTCATAAATTAGAAACATAAATAAAAATATAATTTTCCTATCATATCTTTATATATCATAATTTTACACATCTAATTATATGTATAGCATTAACAGAACTGATTCTTATAACATACAAAGCATATGATAACAATATAATTATTTTTAGTTGTTAGTCTCTCAGAACAAAGCACATCATTAAATTGATAGTTAAATTGTATATAATCTAAGAATTAGTTAATATTATAGAAGTTTAGTAATTAAAATTACATGCAGTTTATTCTGCACATATCTATATTAAATACATAATTACTGACAAAGTAAATTTTTATATAGAACATCTACTTCTTAGAAGTATATCAATATATATTTTAATATGCAATATTTCATATTGCATTATTTGTAAATGTAATCATTAGCATTTCAATGTTAGATCATAAGCAGAGAAATGTCTGTAACATAAGATTTTTTAATTATATTAGAACAGATACTTAGTTATCACTTCTTATAATACTACATTACAATATCGAGATATAAATACCTGTTGTAAACTTGGATTTTGGCTTACAATAAATCCAGAAGTTTAAGAGAAATCTCTATTCGTGAAAATGGCAGGCGCTACCAATGACCATACATAAAGAGCCAAACACATCCATGAAGAAATAATTTTCACCCACATTGAAGCATTGTTTGCATTTAATGTCTCCAAACTGGAGTTTGGTCTATTAAAGATATCAATATAGTGACATTGATGGATTAAAACAAATATAATTTAACGTTATAACATTATATAGATACGCACTTATACCAGTTAGTGAGTGTCATCATAACATACAAAGTAGCAAGAGCAAACATAAGATGGAAGAAACTCCAGTTGTATGCCACTTTTTCTTCTTCATTGTCCCAAACCTTAGCTTCGTTTCCATCTTCTGCATCGGGATTGCGTCCTTCTACTGCAGTATAATCTGGTTACATTTAGGAAAACAAAAAATAACACAAAAGAAAAAGCTGCAAATAAAAATATTAAACAAGCACTGGCTTTTATAAATATTTTTGACAGCATGCTGTAATATGCATGTGTATAGACGTTCCTTCATTGTATACTGTGTACTAAAATTAAAGGAAAAATTAGAAATTAACTTGCAGCATTTAATACTTAATTTTAATATTATAAAAATACTGTAATGTTTGTAATAGTAACAAAAAAGAGAATAAAGATAAACACACACTAACTACTAAGCAAAAAATCTATGTCTGCCTAGCTGCCCCCTCCCCCCACTTAATCAAATGTTAATGAATAAATTATATAATAAAATCGAAATTGCTTGGAAATAATAGCGCATAAATCGAAGATATATTTTACATAAATAGCGTAATTTTGCAATTTTAAACGACTTAGAGATGAATATGACTGTTTGCTCCAAGAAGGAAGTCCCTTAAGAGTTTGATTTTTCAAATCGGTTGTTATTAACACGTAGGAGAGAGAGGGAGGGGGTTAACTGATAGCCTACTCAGCTCCCCATAAAAAGTTTTTTTTAGCTAAACGAAATAAATACAAACATTTTTTTTGCGAATTTTGAAACAAATGCTTTTGCACAAATAGCGTATTATTATATAATTTATTCATTAAGATTTGGTTAAGTAGAGGAGGATCAGCTAGGCAGACGTAAAAAATCTAGTTATTTCATATTACATAGTTATAAATATAGAAAATATATTTTCAATTATCTATATATAAATTAGTCAATAACTTCATTTGTGCAAATATTCAAATATATGAATACATTATTTTAAAGATAGAAATGCAAATAACAAGGTTGATAACTAGAAAATAAATTCTATTTGTAAAATAGTGTGTGCCTACCTTCATTGCCGATAAGAGACTGCTCTGCCGCATTCCTAACTATAGAAAGATTGATATTGTTTAATATAAAAAAGTAATAGTAATACTACTGTAGGAATTAAAAAAAAACCTTTCATGAAAAGTTAAAATTTCTAAAAGAAAGAAAACCAATTATTAGACTAGCAATTAATATTACAATGGATTGAAATTTGATTTAAAAAAATAATAAAATCGGAAGAAAGAAAACTAATATTTAATAAACTTTGTTTTGATTGGTCAAATTTCAATTCATCTCAATCTTAATATCTAGTTTGATACAGGCAAAACGGCACGCTTTCACAAATGTAAAGTTACTAAAATATATACATATAATATAAAGTTACTAAAATATAAAGTTACTAAAATATATATTGTACAACAAAAAAACATCCAACTAATATTTACCAGCTCCATTATCCTGAACTAATACATTTTCAGACATTGTAATCTTTGATGATTTGGACGCTGTACGTAAGGAACTGTATAAAACGCAGCTAAACCATATTATTAGTCCAATAATGCTTTCGTTATCAAACGTAACACGATTTTTTTGTGTATTGACATCATGATTTGAGATACCAGGGAGAAAACCAGGATTACACGCTAGATCTGTAAATTCAAGTAATAACAAATCAAGAATAAAATATGGATTGCTAAGATCATCTCAGTAAATCATTGACCTCTACCTGGGCTGTTTGCTATACCGCTCCATGTTAAGTATACCACATATAATGTTACAATGGAAGACTGAAGCAGTCCAGATCGTGGTTGATGTTCTTGCACATTCGGTAAAATTGATACAATACTGGCAATGACGCACAAAATCAAATTAAACGAAATGAAAAACTTATTTAGGGCACACCCACTTGGCTGTAAATACATAAAATAAGCGAGTAATCCTATGTCTTGAAGATATTTGTCTTAAAGCTAGATAAAGAAACATAGTTAATAATCTTACATGTGTATAATATACATAAAGTAGCACTACTCCAGTAATAGATAAAGCATAATTGAAGACAGATGCACCTAACAGTGCAGCGTACCTAAAAGCATATATTTCATAACAAAAACATCTGCGTTGCATGATTAAACATTAAAGTGGTAAACACAAAAATAATCTTTACCATCCTTTTGACTCGGTTTCCTCATAAGTTCCTACCCAAGCATCAGCCCAAGAATGGGCAAAATCAACAATTAAAATTAGCTGAATAATTATAAAGAGGAAACCTCCTAACATCCCAAAATACATCCAAGTAGAACCGAATGATCTTTCCGGGATGAAGAAAGCGCCAATGATTCCACCAATTATCAAAAGATACTTGATTGCCCAGAATCTGAGAATTTCATATAAACATCATTAGTCAGTTTTAAAACGCCACACTGTAATATGTGTCAATTTAATTTACCCATTTTGTATAGCTGCCCGTGGATCGCGTGAACTTTTTACCCTGATCATTATTACAGACATCAAGAAAAAGTACAAGGAAAGAATGAAGCATATTCTATAAACAGCTAAATAACCGACTGCAAAGTCACAGTCGAGAGATGGAATGATCTCCGATGGAACATAAGTAGAGCTGTTTGCACAGAATGGGACCTGTTTGAAAAATCGCAGTATTAACGCGTTTCTTCTTTATTTCAGATCGATCGCGTTCAGCAGAATATTTATTTTAGGAGTGCTTATTGGATTATACTTTTAGATTTAGAGGAACAGTCTTATCCCGGTAAAAAAAATTTCAGTTGGAAAATAAACATTCCGCTGAATATATAATCATTGTTTCTGACATTACCTTTTTAAGAGCATTTTGGAGACCAGGAGCCAGAGTGATACAGGCTGCGATAGTTCCTAGCAACAAGAGCAGCGCATACATGATGCGAGTGCTCGTGCTGTTCCTGCATGAGGGACATTGAGAGCAGCAAAAGCTGCAAGCTGTGCTTCCGCACAAGCACGCAAGCTATATGATAAAAGAGAGTAATATAGAGCCCAAATAATTCGTAAATCAATAAAACAAAAATATACAGTAGTAAACATTTCATATATGTATAATCCAGTCTTATATGTTGACAGTGTTAAAATATTTCTATCATGTCATAAGGATCTTTAAAAATAGCGTTGGCTACTATGTTTTCTTAATATATATATGTATATAAAATCAATAAGACATATATATATATATATATATATATATATATATAATCAAATAATAAATATGATAAAATAATTAGATATTCAATGACTCACTCAAACCTCTGAAAAATTTTTTACATACCAAAGAATATTAAATTAAAATTGGTTCAATTGCGTTAAAAAAAAGAGTTAAATGTAATATGTCTTTATTTGCGAAGATAATAAAACAAACATGACTGGTGACAATTCCAAAGATCAATAATGGAATACAACTGTAATCGCAGCATAATTATAATAAAACATTGCTACGAAGAATAATCTCGACAGAAAATACATTATTAGTTTCGGTGAGCGAAGAGGAAAGCGGGAAGGAGAAAGATTTACGTTACTAAGGGTGAGTCGAGTATACGATAGTTATCTCCAAGCCATACCTGAGCCGTTGAGCACGCGAGACCCATGTCGATTTTCTCCGGGCTATCGAGGGAGAACGGAGCAAAATGTCTCGAGAAACGAAACTGGAAGAGACTCGGAAACTGGAGGCGACCGAATAGACTAAATAGAATGAGTCGTGGTCGTTGAGGAAAACAAGAAACGCCACGGGGAGACGCAACAATAATAGACGAACTGACACTGCTGCTTGCAGGCAACTTCACGCGATCAGCTGACCGTGACGTCAGAACCAGTCAGAACGTCACAACTCGCCGCCTCGCGGCGCACTTCGCGTAGCTCCGACATCAATTGATTGGTCGAACGCACGACGGCGTCAACAGTATTAAGTACAGTGCTGGTAGCTGCTAGCAGCACAGCTCGGCGTTCGGTCACAGTGTTCCATAATCGTGCGCGTGTTCGCGCGTTGTCATCACCGCTAAAAAAAAAACAAGGAGGGAACACAGAACTGGACGGAATACGCACACGCCGATGCTGCAAGTGTAAGCGACTTATTGTCTAGAATTACTGCAAACAAAGCTGACACTGCACGCTCGTTGTCTAATTGTCGCACAATATCTAAACGCATTAATCCTAATAGCAATTGAATTTTCCTGAAACGAAGCAAGCAGCATGCAAGATATAGCTATTGACGTGTACTCGATACCGGGGTGTCGGCCACTCCGAGGCTTGTGAGAGCCGAAGGCCTAGCAATATATAAGCTTGACCTGAGACGCGAGTGAGAATCTCTGTTATGATAATAAAAATATATGCAGACGTAGTTTTAATTCTGTCTCATATATTCGGTTGATTTAGCGAGGAGGTATATATTCGCATTTATTTACATTGATTTGTTGTACATTGTTTTTAATACGACACACAAACGTTATGTATCATGTTTCTAACTTTGGTCATGAATGCGGATAAATGCGGATATAAATCCTATATTGCATGTATCGATATTGTATCAATTATTTTAGAAATTTAATGACCTCATACAGCCTTTCCTTATGAGATCTCATTTTTCTCTGACGAAAGTTTCTAAACATATATTTTATCTGACAATTTTTTTCTACATAGAAAAAGAGAATGTATTATTAGCTCATTATTCAATAACAGTATAATTGAAAACAATGTTTATTCAATAATAGAATTAATAAAACAAAAAATATTTTATTAAAACAAGAGCATAGCATATTTGCTTCATTAATACTGTCATTAAATTAATAAGATTATTTTCAATTAAACTGTTATCTATGTATAACAGTTACTACTATTAATACAACATTTTTTTCCATGTAAAAACTATTTCTACAATTCGGTCACTCAAACTACACTGGATTAATTCACATTAAAGGCTGCTTTATATGAAATATCTACATAAATGCAGCGACATAATATTTTGACAATGAAATATATGTATATGTATTCTGTTAAATAACATAACATTATTAGGTTCATATTTATATGGTTTTAACTTTGCAATTCATGTATATTAGCTTTGAGTATGCATTAATAAAAAACTTCTTCTTTATTGAAGAACTATTTAAACTGGTGCACACAATAAGTTGAAACAAACTAAATTTGTTTCACTTTAATTTATTCCACACCAATGTGCACCAGTTCAGAAATTTCGTCGATAAAGAGTAGACTATAATTTAACATACGTGATTGAATTCGCTATAAAACAAATTTTGCAATTCTTAGCGCTTTATATTTTTTTATAAATGATATCTAATGATCGCGGAAACATACATGCAATACATTTGTATCTGATATCTTATTATAACAATCCTTCATATTGCAATTTAATATAGTTCTTACATTTTTATTTATGATTTTAATTTCTTTTATTAGTATATAGATTTATGAAAATGTTATACACAGAATTAATTGACAGAAAATAACTTTTTTTGAAGTATTGCGAAATTTTTCTATTACAAAAGTTTTTGCAAAAAAAGTCTATCATCCGTAACAATTTATTACATTAAATCTCCATTTTATTAAGCACCTTTTCCGATCTTAAAATTATATTTCTTTTAAAATGTGTTCTGAAAACGAAAGTAAATTTTTTTCTCAATCCTTCTGGAATTCAATTCATCATATTAGATGTCACGGATGTGTTTAAATTTCAATTTTTGTCTGTGTTTTAATTCTCGGTTACAGACTTCTATGAATATTTTTAAATATACATACTAAAATGAACCGTACTGTAATCTGCATATTTCGCTGCATAAGATTGAGCTATGTTTAGATTTTGGATAAACGGCTGTTTCACGAGAAACGAGAGCAGAATGCGGCCAGTTCTACTCCTTCGTATATAGATGATTGATTTTCATAATGGTCACAAGTGCGTGGGTTACACTTTTGTCAACAATTATAAAAGCTCATAAATGTTATCTGATCGTTATGAATCATTCTTCCCACGACATTTCGCTATGAAAAACACGAGATATGACTTGGTCGTTGTGGATCATTAAAATGCAGCTAAAATAGAATCCATTTCTCACGTTTACCGGCTTTAATAACTTTTATACACGCGTACCGCAGTACGGTTATTTATGCTTGTCATATTGTTTTAAAGATGAGAGTCAGATTAATCATTTTATGCAACGTCGTACACGACGTATACCTACGAAGCTCTCGGAATTCTTTCACCGTCAGGATTTACTTATCAATTTTTTGCGACACGCGATAAAGAAACAATAAAAAATCCATGAAGGAGTTAATAGATATTAATAATCTCGACAAGATACAACAAATAATATTTCCTACAAATGTAAATACAATTAAGTATGATAATAAGACAAATTTCGCAACCACTTAACGCTTTACAAAATATTTCTCTGCAAATATATTTATTAATTGATTGACTTATAACAGCAATATTTTACATAACAGCTTAAAATATGTTCTTATTATATTATAACCGTATTTTTAATCTTTTCGTTTACAGATTTGTAAAAAGTGTTATACATAGAATTAATTGTCAAAAAATAATCATTTTTCTAAAAATTTGCACAAAAAGCTATCATCCACAGCAACTTTAGAATTTATTAAATATTTCTGTTTTTTAGATTATATTTCGTAGTATGTAAAAAGTAAT